CTACAATCTAAACTAAATGAGGTTAACATTAGGAACAGAGATGATGTGGAGCGACTAAAAATGATAGCACAGAATTGTGATAAATAATCAAAACGAACAGAACAATAATTATTATGTTTTGATCAATAATAGACGATTCTTTCTAAAACATGTAACACTCATATTTTCCTCTTTTTTGGGCGCTTCTGGGTACCAGATGCGCCCTTTCCAGCCGTTCGACTCCCCCGATGTAACATGTACTATACTACATACCGTTTTGCCTTATGGGTAATGACGCCATTCTGGTACACCCGGGAAAATTTCATTTTCTTCTGCATCTGGTATTCGTAAAAGTTTTCGTGAAATGTTTTGTTTTTTAGCATAACAATCTCGCACGGACGTATTACCTGGTTAAACTATTTTGGGGCTTCGTTATGCTTAAATGCCTCATAATCGAGGTTGTAGTTTCAGATTGATTATAAAAAATCACGAACAGTCACGTGATCTCTTCATTTTAGTGACGTATTACTGTGCTATTTTGTGATTGGTTCATTTTCTTGGCGCAGCATCGTCAAGCGTCAGCTGTTTGCGGCCAAAGACATAAAGACGGAGCGCTCGTATCTAAAAGCACGGGGAAAAAGTGAAGCTAGGTTCGGCGCTGCGCGCTTGTGTGAGTATGTAAATGAGCGCGGGAATCCATGGCGGCAAACGGAAATTTGAATTGAACTTGTCCTCTTGATTTTTGCACATTTCCTCTTTGAAACGTATTTTAAATTCCTAAAACGAATATACTAAGAAAGTTCGGTCTGCGTCCTAATATAATACACCTACTTTTGCTCGGTAACAGGCAGTAATCTCACATAAAGTTAGTTTTTCTTCTGCTCATGGTGGTTCTGCAGGTTCAAACAGGCCGTTACAGTTCTAGATCAACGTTACTCCCAAATGAAATTAATCGGTCGACGACGGACTGAAACTAACCTAAAGTTAAAAAATATGAGTGTGTACCTGAATTTGGGCAAAAATCAACCTAAAATACTTTGTTTCCGCAATTTTATTTATTAGTTCCCGCCCTCTATTTGAATTCAAACTTGTCCCGATTTCGCCGCCAATCCTCTAGCCAATAGTAGAGGTGATTGAAAAGAAGCTCTAGAAGCTTCATTTTTTGCTTTTAGTGCTCCGTCTTTATGTCTTTGTTTGCGGCATTGGGCTGAAGGTTTAAGGTTATGTCATGGACCAAGAGAATAAATAAGGACCCCCAACTCCAGTTAGCGGTGACATTAGCGCTGCCTGGCAGAGTGTTCACGCCGTGATTATGGGTCCAGCCAGCGCTGTTGTCGTTGATGTCACCGCCGCGCCGCCGGCCGGCACCGCGTCGCCGCGGACGCAATCTTCCCCGCGACCCACGCTTCCCCTCTCCGCTGCTCCACTCCTGTTCTCACTGGCACGCTCCCCCGCGAGCCGCGACCCGCGCGCCCTACCTCGCGACGCCGCGCCGCTGTCCGCTAGATCGCGTTGACGCATCTAGCTTTATCAGACGTTCCGCCGTTCTTTCCCGTCGTCTCATTTACACGGTATCCTTTATGATTCCATGCACCACCTAAAGGTTAATCACTTAGTGCTTGTAGATGTTTCTAGATCTTCGTTGTCGTCCTGAAGTTCTGAAGAGTTTAATGGGAAAAGCTTCCCACTTTTATTTCAATCTTCGTCAGTCTTCGGGTATGTAAACTGATAATAATAAACTTTGTCAAAGAAGCGCCCTCCAACGCTTTGGCGTTGGAACTGCTTGTTAATAACTAGTCCGCTTAAATGAGCCACCATCATGCAATTATGTTGAACTATATTTCAGGATCTTTGAGGGATTTTTCGCACTCTGCATTACGGAACTATCTTAAATGGACTAAATTTCCAGTTTCAGAACTACACATTTTGGCTCATCAGTAGAAACACCTGTGTCCGAAGGACAAAATTTGATAAAAAATATTCACAAATTTTCTTAAAAATTCATATTTCATCAAAGGAGATAAGGCAACTTCTAGAGGCTCATACGCCATTCTTCCTTCGCGCGGCAGCAAATTTGGACTAAATTTTGCAATTCAAAACTAAAATTCCGGGCTCAGTTTAGAAACAACTATTTATGAACCATTGGTTCCTCTATCAAATCGGTGTTATCATAGGTGAGCCAAACGCTGTAATTCCTGATTACAAAATGCATTCCAAATATTAGACATTGCCTTATCAATTACGATAGAGAAATCTCATCCTAATTCCAAAACTAGTTTAACAAGAATAATACGCATTTCGGATGGAAGGACGTTCATTAAACCAAAAGATGAAGACACAAAGATCCTTGCGAATTATCGTTCCATCACTTGTTCGCCCACCATCTACAGGGTGTCCCAAAAGTCCGTACCTTTAGTCGTAAGTTTTTAACGGTTAGAGATAGAAAAACAAAACTTTGGGAATGTTTCTATCTTAATGGGGACCATCTTCTAGGGGGTCAAAATTTTTGTCCCCCCCCCCCAAAATGATTTTTCAAATAGTTATCCCTATCTTAAGATACCTCACTCGAAAGAGCATGAAAAACTAAGAATTTTGGCGCAAACCGCAGATTAATTTTTTAATTTTTGACCGAGTTATGATAGTTCAAAGTCCAAATTTGACCTATTTTCAAAAAATCATAACTCCGGTTCAAATTATCGTAATGAAAAGAATAAAACAGGAAAATTAACCAAATTGTAAGCTTGTTTCAGTAAAACCGCAGAAATTACTTCAAACTAATTTGAAGGGGGGTTTCGGACCCCCAAATACGTCCTTTTAAAGGTCACACGATTTTCCCGCGAAATGGGTCAATTTTCCCTTACTCTGCGTCTACATTATCTTGGTAAGTTCAATATTAGTTCAACGTTGCGTTATCAAGTCCCCAAAGTTCGGGCAAAGTTCAAAAAGCGAAATTTAAGGTGATTCAATTCAACCATTAAAATTTCGTTTTTTTAAAACTTTGCACGAAATTTGAGGACTTGAAAACGTTGCAATCAACAACGTTACCAAACAATCTTTTTTAATTTTTAACAACTTTTTATGATTTTAACACCTCTTTTTAAAATGTTTATGAACCATCAAATTTTAGCAATTTTAAAAGGCTCTAGCTTTGAAAGACTTGACTACGGTACGTCTTTCAATGAGTTTATATCCACAAATGATTTATTTTTGTGAGAAAAGTGCATAATAAAAATAATATTTATTTCTACATAAAGCCATAAGGCTATGATACAGTGTCAATGGAACTATTAATGGTTTCTATACATATAGATCATACATATATGTATATACATAAAGATTACAAAAACTTAAACTGGTTAACTACAGAACTCCTTAAAGGAATAAAAAGATCTTTTCTGGAGACACTTTTTCAATTTTCTTAAAAAAACTGTGCCTCCCTCTCTTTAAAAAGCTCCTCGCAGTTCGCATGTGTATCTTGAAATTTTGTTTACCACTGAAAGAGGAGGAGCAATGACTGCAACTGAACGGTTTCTAACCAGTATGCGTGCAAACATGTTCCGTTAAAGACTGTTTCTGAACAAAGCATGCCGTACAATGACTGCAACTGAATGGTTTCTCGCCAGTGTGGCGGAAGTTTGGGAAACTTGTTTGGCTCATGACACCACCCGAAGCTCATCATCCACCATGCAGGCAGGTCACGGGCCGAAATTAGGATGAAGACTGTTGCTCCCTTATCATTGTCCATGTGGAATTGTTGAATCTTCGAAAGTTAAAGCTTCCACTTGTCGCCATGAGGTTAGTAGAGGGTCACATATCTCTGATCGCAGTGTGCTCCGTCAAATTCCTTTTCAGCCGAAAAGAGGATGAGCAGTGCCTGCAAGCCTACGGTTTTTCGCCAGTATGCATTCGCAAATGTCTCTAAAAAGTGACATTCTCGGAGAAGGAAGCCGAACAATGACTGCAACTGAATGGTTTCTCTCGAGTATGCGTGCGAATATATGCCGTCAAAGACTGTTTTTGAGCGAAGCATGCCGTGCAATGACTGCAACTAAAGGTTTCTCACCAGCAAGGCGGATAAAGAATGGTGGTCGCATTTCGTACCCTCTGGACGTCACACGGTATCGGGTACATCGGGTACATGGGCTGGCCGAGGCCGGGGGGGCCGACTCAACCTCGGATTGCACGGCATAACCCGTACCCCTTGACGTCACAACGCATCAAGATGGCAGCCAAAATCGAAATGCGACCACCATTCTTTATCCGCCTTCTCTCACCAGTATGCGTGCGAACATGTTTTGTTAAAGACCGTTTCTGAGCAAAGCATGCCGAGCAATGACTGCAACTGAATGGTTTCTCACCAGTATGCGTGCGAACATGTACTGTTAAATGCTGTTTGTGAGCAAAGCTTGCAGTGCAATGACTGCAACTGAATGGTTTCTCACCAGTATGCGTCCGCATGTGTACTGTTAAATGCTGTTTGTGAGCGAAGCTTGCAGTGCAATGACTGCAACTGAATGGTTTCTCACCAGTATGCGTCCGCATGTGTACCTTCAAATTATCTTTCCTACGGAACGAGGACGGGCAATGACTGCAAATGAATGGTTTCTCGCCGATGTGCGTTCGCATGTGTACATTTAAATTTGGTTTACTACGGAACGAGGAGGAGCAATGACTGCAAATATATGGTTTCTCTCCAGTATGCGTGCGAATGTGTGCCTTCAAAGACTGTTTTTGAGCGAAGAATGCCGTGCAATGACTGCAACTGAATGGTTTCTCACCAGTATGCGTGCGAACATGCTCCGTCAAATACTTTACCTGAGAAAAGCTTGCCGTGCAATGACTGCAACTGAATGGTTTCTCACCAGTATGCGTTCGAACATGGTTCGTTAAAGAATGCCTGTAAGCAAAGGATGCGGAGCAATGACTGCAACTGAATGGTTTCTCTCCAGTATGCGTCCGCATGTGTGTTTTCAAATTACTTTTCTTATTAAATGAGGCCGAGCAATGACTGCAACTGAATGGTTTCTCACCAGTGTGCGTGCGAACATGGTCCGTTAAAGCCCGTTTCTGAGCAAAGCATGCCGAGCAATGACTGCAACTGAATGGTTTCTCACCAATATGCGTTCGCATGTGTCTCGCCAAATTGCCTTTTATACTGAATTGGGAGGAGCAATGACTGCACCTGAATGGTTCCTCGCCAGTGTGCGTTTGCATGTGTGTAGTTAAAGCGCTTTTAGAAGAAAAAAGGCTCGAACACTCGCCGCATGTAAATGATATCTCACCAGCTTGCGTTCTAATATATTCGACTGACTTTGAGTCCGATTCGATTGCTTGGGTAGGGGGTTCCTTCTTAATTTCGATATTCGTGAGTGATAGGTCAAGCCAATTTTCATTACATTGGTCGGGAAGTGGAGAGCTCATGATCTCCCTCTTCACTCGCGCTGTTATGGGGACAAAATCACGAATATCATTCTCCAAATCGTGTTCTGCTCCTCCTTGTCCCAACCTGAGTTGTGACTCATCCGTCTGGGGAGTGGGTTCACTCTTAATGTCAATACTTGTGTGTAGCTGGTTAGTCCAACTTGCATCAACTGTTTCATCCTCGCATTCGATTTTGGGGGGAAGAGCGGAGGGAGAATCGAAGATGGACGAGACCGAGGTTTCTTGGGTCTCTTCTATTGATGCAAGTCGGGTATTGTTGGAATCTTCAAGGCGACTTTCTACAGATTGGGAAGATGGGTTGCCAGACATACCGCTATACTCCGAGCTGGTGCACGCTACAGGTGCAGCCTGCATTGAACAGCTCATGGAATCAACCTGGACACGTCTCCCTGAGGATCCTCTTCTACTCGGTGGAACTACTGGATTGTAGTCTTCAGGTATGCTAAGTGCTCTTTCCGTTAGATTTTGAACTTCGGCATTCTCCATTCAAAATCCTGAACAGAATAAATTTCAAGATTTGTAACAAGGTGGAAAAATCATGCCGGGTCCACACAATTTCGCGGGGAAATAAAAGCCAAGAAGTTCCAAAAATTGTTATTAGAGTGAAAAATAAATCTTTTTAACACTAATGAGTACCAGTTCAAACTGAGGGGGGGGGGTTTGTTCAGCTGAGGTAGTTTGCATTGGAATATTAAGTTGGAGTCACGGCGAGAGATCTATACCGCTTCCGGTCTTTTTAGACCTCATCAGCAAATCACACTCATCGGTGAACCCAACTTAACATGCCGCAAAATCCAAGACGGCATGAAAGTGCTGTCATGAGAATGACCCGAGGCATGACACAAAACTGTGATCCTCGTGCCATCTACTGTCGCGTCGCTGCTGAACAACTCTCAAAACATAAGGAAAACCTGTTAAGGAAAAATATTTCTTATTTTTGGGTCAAATTATTGGAGGCATATTTTAAAATCTAAAACAAGCGGGACAGTTCTAATACTGTCGTATTAGAAAAGCGCTCAGGTGTTAGTAAATGTATTTAATGAAGAAAGGACGTATAAACTCCGTCGACTTGGCTGGGAAATGGAGATAAAACATCAGCCGATAGCAAACAAAGGTTACCAAGGAAACCGTAAACGCGTACTTTTGTTTCCCGAAAATGAGCTCACCGTTGAGCTCATCAGGCGCGTTTTTTTGGCTTCATTTGAGTTCGACGATCAATTTCGATAAGAATTACTCTACCGCTAAGAAATTTTCTTATAGACAAACGATCGAAACTACCTACGCATTACGTTAAAAGCATAAAATACAGTTTTCACAGCTTTATTTATTTTAAAAATGGACCCCCCCAAAAAGCCTACACATCGATGAGCTGGTGCGCCATTTAAACGCATTAGCACTAGTATACTAGTACTCAGAGTCAGGAGTCAAGTCGAAATCAAAAAGCGCTGCCTATCGGCTGAGCGCTTAAAAGGTTAGAAAAACCATGAAACCCAAAATCGTTCCCTAAAATTGCTTAAGAGCATTGTGTCATTCATTTACTAGGAATGTGTTTTTTACAGATCAAAGTGAAATATTTCTTTCAAATTAATAAATGAATAAAACTTGCTTTTCGTATGCTATGAGGGCGTACCGCGTAGGTACTGACGTTGCGTAAAATTGACGATATCTATGACGATATATAAATGTCACGGTCGCTACTTTATGACGACGGACGGTGCAACTAGAGGACACCGGAGAACACCAGAGAACACGTGTTCCGATTGTATTGTGCTTCAGAATCACCGCTTCGATTTCCGGGTGTACATCGCATGTCCAAAGATAGAACGATGAGAAGCTGTAAGGAACTCCCATCTAAAACTGATCCCCGATCGTTTAGCGTGTAAGAGAACGGAGAAACCGTTTCATTCAAGTGTCTAATAGAGTTACTCCCATCAATATTTCGGAGCTGAAGCGAAAAATGACCGTATCTCCTTTCCACCATCAAGTATCAAGTATCAATTTTTTGGAAAATCCAATTCCCCAAATTAAAACGAACACAATTTTGTCTTTTAGGCAGTTTGAGGTTCCGGAAAATCGGTGGAAAAGTAGAGAATACCGAGGTAAATTTTGGCTTCAGCAATGAAAAACAATTTGAAGCAATCCCTGCACAAGACACCTGGATAAGAAATAATCCCAGTTCTTTCAGATGCAAAAAGATCGAATCAGTTTCATATGGATGTTTCTTGCGGTTAAATACATTTCCAAAGGTAACGCAGACATTCTTGAAATGACAAATCGGATTTTATTTCCGGGCATAGCAACCGCGACGTAATCCTCAATTTCGACATTTCCCCCTTAAATTAGGCTCTCCTGGACTATTCGCTCCCTGAAGATAAGGTCCCGTTTAAAAAACTGGTCACAATGGAGATGTTGCATGTGTGAGGAATTTGCGATTTAACTATTGATTCTTATGTAAAAGTTCGCGAGAAACACGATGGTGCCACTGGTTTTCCGCTGGTCCACTGGCCCATGTACCCGATACCGTGTGACGTCCAGAGGGTACGAAATGCGACCACCATTCTCTATCCGCCTTGGGGCGGCCCCACCGTCACTTCCAACAGCGACGCACCCTTCAGGGAGAGGATTTTCCATTTCAGCAGAGACGCCATCCACAGACTCAAACGTCGCACAAACGAGGGATCGCAGAATAGGTGCGTTGTTAAATCACTTTTGCTGCCCAACAAAAATGGCCGAATTTTAGCAGGATTGACGTCATCTCGACGACGATGTCAGCTCAACAGACGGAAGAAAATCGAGGTGTCCATCTTAAATTCCCGTTGGATTCTGCGGATTTTGAGGTTAAGTATCATTGAAATTTAAGATTTTTAACATTTAAATCTTGATAACACCCATAATATTACGAAATTGACGCGGTGCAACGACTATAAGCAATTGCAAGTCAGCCTGATGAAGAGCATGTCGTCACCTTCCAGGCAAAGTATCACAAGCGCCATGCGACGTTTAAAAATTTCCGCCGCCATTTTATTTTTTTACAGAGAAATTGTTCAACGAAGCTGTCCGAAAATTTCACTGAATTTTCTTTGTGCTGCCGATAAAATTTAGTGAGATTTCCAAACAGATTCAACCAACAATTTCTCAGTAAAAAAATAAAATGGCGGCGGAAATTTTTAAACGTCGCATGGCGCTTGTGATACTTTGCCTGGAAGGTGACGATGTGGCGAAGAAGTGCGGAAAAATGGCGGATATTGATGCAAACAATGACGTAACAACAATCCAGCAAACTCGGCAGCAGCCAGAAACCTCGCTGAGCTATTGGGCACTTTGCTGAGCAGCCAACTTGGAAAACGGGTAAATCCACCAGAATTCATACCAACGCTTGCGTTGAGCTCAACGCTCAGCGGGTAAATTTCGTTGGGCAGTTGTGGACTTTAACAACGCATCTGGTGACGCGAAGAACCGCCTTGAGATCTCATCCTTCGTTTCGCTTTGCACCCAGCTGTGGCGGTCGGTGACCCGAGCCAGGCAGGAAACGACACTCTTCCGCATGGCCGTCAACTGGCGACAAAGGTATTTATTGATTTATTTTCTAGTATTTATGGCCGCACACGGGATGAAGGCAAGTATATGCAGGGCAAGAAAAGGCGCCTTCAATGTTAGTCTTTATGCAGAACGCACATCGGTCAAGCACGAATAATTGTATCAAGACGGTAAAAGCACTCAGAGATAGAGAGACCTTAGATGCTGTCATGGTAATAGACTGATTTCGAGACTCCATCATTCGATGTAATATCGAACTCTTGGTTCAAACCAAAACAAACTAACATAAGCTCATTCACGAATTCTTCGTGAGTTGATTGTGTCGATTTATAAAAATTTTGTCATTGACTGCGGTCATAAATTAATTTAAGGCTCGTTAAACACGAGTCATTTGATTGCAAGAAACATTTGGACGCATTTAAACACCATGGCACGAAGATCGCGAATCAGAAACAAGGTTGTGTGTTTGTTTACATTTGAATCATGACGTAGCCACTGAATCAGTCTAAGGCGGTGGCCTTAATTTTTTGGGCTCCATCATGGACGGTTACCTCGGAGGTCATTCTGGCGGAGGCCATGGCACGTCTCGAGCAGTGGCGTGGCGTGAATTGCGATATATCGATTGTTATGCCATTTAAACCTATGAAAAAAGATCGATTATCAGGCTGTTCGAAGCGAGCACCTTAGTAATCGATTCTTTACCATAGTTTCAAATGGCGAGATATCGATAATCGATTATCCACGCCACGCCACTGGTCTCGAGGCGGATCATGAGTTCATGCAGTACTGGTCGGAGGTCGTGACGGATTAGAAGGCACCCCTGGAGAAATTGATAAGATTTTTCAGCGTTGTGGGGAGAAACAGGGGGGGGGGGGGAGGAAAGGAAAAAGTGGAAGAAAATATGGGGAAAAGGGAGGAAAACGAGAAAAAAAAACGATGGGAAAAAGGAACGAAAGGAGGTACAAAGGAAGAGAAAATAGACATGAGCAAAAAAGGTGCAGTGCTCATGCGGTTCTGCCGTGCTAAAGAGGAACGCTGTATGTCGTCACCTTCCAGGCAAAGTATCACAAGCGCCATGCGACGTTTAAAAATTTCCGCCGCCATTTCGTTTTTTTACAGAGAAATTGTTCAACGAAGCTGTCCGAAAATTTCACTGAATTTTTTTTGTGCTGCCGATAAAATTTAGTGAAATTTCCAAACATATTCAACCAACAATTTCTCAGTAAAGAAATAAAATGGCCGCGGAAATTTTTAACGTCGCATGGCGCTTGTGATACTTTGCCTGGAAGGTGACGATGTGAGCATTCAAATGTAATTTTACGCATGAATAGCAGTTTTCCCTCAATAAATATTTACGACCCCGTTTTTGGGCGGCAACTTTGCCAACTTCAAAGTTATTCATTTCGAGATTTATATTAGTAGATGGAAGATTACACGGTGAGCTGTTTATCAAAAAACGTGAAGTAACGATTCTAATATCTAAAACAATCGTCATTTCTTGAAAAAAATCGACGTTTATCTAGGAGGGTATCCTCTCAATTTTACCGCCAAGAATGCTGAAGAACTGCTGAAGAATGCTGATAGAAAAAGAAACTGACTATATCCTTGAATTCAGCATACTTACAGCTTTAACTTAAATCCAAGTTTTTTCAAGGATAAAAATGCAGGAATACTCGAGAGATTTTAACGCGGGACAGAAAAGTTGGCGTGCACCGAAAAATGCGAGTCGCTCGATGTATTCTGCCGTGCTAAGGAAAAACGCTGTTCAGGCGTTGCCAAATTTCCTCAGATAAAACACGAATTTCCTGGTAAACTCATGAATATTTCCCCTCCAATTTTTCACATAATTTTATTCGAGATTTCACCTGGAGTCCCTTAAAATTTCAAGAGAAAATATTCATAACTCTCCTCAAATATGAACATTTTATTGAAGGAAATTTGGCAACTGTCG